CACTCACTGCTTAGCAGCACTTCCTGTGTTTTCCCTGCGGCCGGGCTCCACCATGCGGCCAGCTGAGGCTGCCATGGTCGTGCACCACAGAGGAGCCTATGCAGCTTCTCTCTGGTAGATGTGTGATCTGGCAGTTTCAGCCCTTGGTGAAGAGCCCCCGTGACACCTGCCTGGCACTCTAGTCACCATTGAACAATGCGCACCAGCCTTGGAACCTAACCTTCCTCGTGACCTGTAATTACTCTTTGAGCACATGAGACGTTAACAGGAGTGAGCGCAGCTACCCGGCTTGTGGTGAGAAGCCGTATTTCTTGATGCTGTGATTAGGAAGTCACTAAGTACGGGTGTGGTGACGGCGGCTTGGTTCCAGTGCACCCAGATGATCGAGAGGCCCCTTTTCAGGAGGGCTGGGCCTATGCAATTCAGATGATGACGTCACATTCGCATGTGTCTCGGTCCAGGGGTATCAGGTAGGATCGCTGCCTGAGTTTTCAGAGGATTGCAACCTGGAGGTAGGAGTCCTAGAAGAGCCAGTAGCGACAACTGAGGGCAGACTGCCGAGGAAGAACAGGCCGCAGAGCGCTGGTCCCCCACCCACCCGGAGTGCCAGGTCAACTCCTGGGTAAGAATCCTACTCCGCCTCACCCCCACCCCATGTGATTTCTCCTCCCTCGGACCCCAGAATCCAGGCAAAGCTGGGAACGAAGGAGTTCCTTCCTGGTTCCCACACAACTTCACAATAAACTAATCAGCACCATTTCTCTCCAAAACTGCCTCCTGATCTGCGGGGTACTTCACGCACCTGGCCTGCCAGCACCCCACAGAGGCCCCAGCGAGAACAGTGTTTGCATAAACATAGGAAGCCTCTGACTTGACTTAAGGACATTTTCTTGCTAAAATGTGCTCTCGATAATAAAAGAGGCCTCCATCAGGGTTCTCAGTTACCAAGGACAGAAACCAAACTCACGTGGGCTTAGGCGAGAAATGCAGCATCGGAGTGCCGCTGGTAGGTCAGCTAGGTGCAGCTGCAGCCAGTTGGCAAACTACGTCCCTGGACACCTTTCCCTCCTTCCCTCGGCCTCCCTACCTCCAGTCCGCTTCTCTCCACGGGATTCAGGCTCAGGCAGGCTCTCCCCAGAAACGCAGAATGACCCCCAGACGCACGGTCAGCAGAGAAGCTCTGTGGACAGAAGGGAACCAGCTTTCCCTCCGGCCACAGAAAGCCCGCAGCTAAGCAGTGAGATGCTGAGGTTCAGCATCTGTCTCTGGATGCCCCATCTGGGGTCAAGGGAGGGGACATGCTGATTGGCCAGGCCTGTGTCACATGACCAAGATATAGGTCAGTCTCCCACTGGGCATTGGGAAGGGTGTTACCCAAGCAAAGAGCAAGTTTCCACACTAGATGACAAGGAGGGTGTGGGGTAGCAGGAAGGGAGGCAGGGAGACCCACCTGCCGCGGAAGGCCCCGGTCTGAGGTCCAAGGGTGCTGTGTGCCCGCCCACCCCTCTGAGCTCGCGGGCACTGATGGCTCCCTGCAGCTTCAGCCGTGGTGGTGTAGAACAGCTCCTCTCCAAGGCCCACTACACGGCGCTGTGGCCACGGCTCCACGCACACACTGCTCACAGCGGCATGAAGTTGGTGCTGTTGTACCCCGTCAGAGGAGGGGACTGACATGCAGAGTGAGGTCACTGCCAAGGTCACGTGACTACTGAGTGGTAGCACCGACGATCCAACCCAGCAGGCTGACTCCGGCTGTGCTGAGGCTCACCTGACTCTGGCTGTGCTGAGGCTCACCTGGCTCCGTGGCGCAGTGACAGAGGAGCGTGTAACCCCCTGTTCTGTATGCTCACAGGGTTTGGGGTGACACAGGCATATGTATGTATTTTGTCAAACTCAGCTAACTTCACTCTTAAAAATGATAACATGGTAAATGAACTATACACACATTGAATTGCCATTGACGATCTGCAGGCTGAAGTGTTTGGAGGCAATTCTGCTGTTATCTGCAACTTAGCATGAAATGCACTTGCCAGAACACGGCGGGCAGCGGAGTCGGGGAGCGGGAGGTCAGCCGCCCCGGGGAGCAGGTGCAGTGAGACGCACGAGAAGCTAGCTCGTGGGCACGTTCACTTCGAAATTCTTTCCCCTTGGCCACATTTTACATTTTTTCATAATGAAATATTAGATGAAAAGCGAACACCTAACCATTAAAGTACATGGTGGCCAGCCACACTGGCATGGGCCGTGGCGCTCCGCAATGCTGCGTTAATGGGCAGGCCCTGGGTTCACATCCAGAAGTCGCCCTGGGCATGCCAGGTGTGCTCAGACCTGGGACCCCGCTGGCTGAGGCCGAGGGGGGAGTGTGTGTGAGGGCCCTGTTGTCTGTAAACTTTAAGACGTAATAACGTGAAAAATAAAAGTTAAAAACTGTTGCTGCAGGCTCCACTTAGAAACACGTGCCTCCCCACAGAGCTGGTGTCCGTGCCTGCAGACCCGCACAGCTAGCTGCTTCTCCCGAAGGCGAGGGTCACGAACAGAGCCCGCCTCGCTCTCAGAGCTGCACGCGGAGCTCTGCGACTTCAGGTTCGCGCCCCTCTCCCCACTCGTCATGTGAAAAATTGTGCATTTCCTCCAATCTCTCTCAACTCCACCTTTTCCAAAACAAAAAACAACTGATGAAATTCGCAAGTGGGTTCTGTTCTCCATCAGGAAAGTCGGCCTTTCCTCTTTTTTAAAGGGGGAGGGGGAGGGAGGAGGGAGGGAGGGAGAGAGGAAGCACCCCGTGGGGCTGGTCACACTGCAATTCTTTCTCTTCCATGTCTTCAAACCCTCAGGACTTGGGGCACGCACACACAAACATGCCTGGTGAGCTTTTCAAGCTGCAGGACCAGAAGCTGAGCCGTCCCGGCCATGAGACCCAGCTCCCTTAGTCGCTAGGCCACAACACTGGCCCCAGGACGGCCATTCCGGAGCAGAGAGGGCGCTGGTTCCTGAAGTCTTGGACAATATGCACAAACACGTCTCTAGGGCGTGGTGGAGAAGCCAAAGCAGACCCGTTTGGGACCTTGCAGGCTTCATGATGTTGCCACTCCGCCCTCTGACAGGGTCCACAGGAAGGGGCAGACGCGGAATGCCATCATGGTTTTGAATCTAATGGCAGTTCAACTCAGCCATGACTGGGACTCACTGCGTTTGCGCACAAATTCATGACTGCCATTCACAAGCTTTAAACGGCAGATTTAAACTCCTTAATCAAAAGAAATTGAGAATCTAGGAACAGCAGAGAAAGCAATATAAAACCAATTAGAATAGGAAATTTGGAGCACCAACAAGAAATGAAAAATAAAATTTTTAGCAGTAGTAAGTGCTACCTTGGCTAAGGAAAAACACGCACTAAAGACAAATATTCAGCGGTGTGAGTTTGAACAGCTAATGCATGGATTAAATCTGCGGGCGAGAAGAAAAACTGGCACACGGGCTTTCTACTTACTGTGGCTTCCAAGAATTCAATGCCTACACAACGTAGAAATCATCCTAATTAGGCAAATCGAATGACTATGTTTATTAGAGCTGTAATTCGAGGGCAAGCTCCATCCCACCTACGATCACATGAGCACATGAAAACGAGAAAATCAATCCTGTAAGGAAGAGAACCTGCCATGTTTGCTTCTTGTTGACAGACGGCATACATGTGCACTCACCGCGAGTGGCAGGCAGACCCTTGGGGATTTTCATGTACCATTTCCATGAGAAACACACTTACTGCGTGTTGGTACCTACTGTCAGAGGACCAGTGACACGCTTATTTGAAATTGTTCTTTTTTTTTTAAAGGCTTTTGTCTTAGGCCCCAGGCACTTGCCAGGGAGGGAGAGAGAGACAGTGAGAGGGAAAGTGAGAAATCATCCCCCAAGGGGATGGCCACACCACAGTCCCTCTCCCCCATTCTCCTCCTGGGATCTTGGGCTTGTATGCACACGCGCCTGGTGCGATTTTCAAGCCGCCGGGTCAGGGACTTGGGCTGTAGCCAGCCATGTGGGAGTCCCGTAGCATAGGGAGTGTGTAGAAGGGTGTCTCAGCCGCACATACACTGCTGTTAAACCCATTGACTGGATCCTCTGTATCAGTTACTGCGTTTCACTGTTTTTAAAGATTCCATTTCTTGTTGAAATTCTTTTTCCCACTGTATTCTTCAGTACATAAACCTACATTGTTTTAAATCCCAGGAAGAGCTCTTGGCTTGTTTCGTTTCATTTTGCCCTCTTAGTTTTGGCTAATTTTCTAACGCTTTGGCTTGCCTGCTCGTCCGGTACTGAATGCCCGCCATCGCATGTGCGTCATTGAAGGAACCATCAGAGGTTCTGAGTTACCTGGCGTCCTTCTGCAGAGCTTCATGTCTGCTCGGAGCAGAATTAAATGCGTCAGAGCAGCTTAACCCCACCTGGGAGTGAGCTCGTTCCAGTCTCTGTCTCTCGGAACGTGTCAGCACTTTGCCTGGGCCTACCCATTCTCCTTTGGCAGTCCCTGAATCTTGGTTTTTGTCTCTTAGCCCCATAAGACTGCGCACATTCTGCTCAGCTTCTTTCCCCTGTCACTGCTGTTTTTGTTAACCCTTTCAGCCAGTGCCAATATGAGTGTCAGGCCCTTCTCTCCGCATTCCCCACCCCTGACGTCCAGAGCGCAGACGGGGGAGCCGGTGGCCGGAGCAGCGACCTGATACCTCCAAACACACTTTGCTGTGTGTGTTTTATTCCGTTTTTCTCGTGCTCCTAGCAGGAGCGATACTGACTAACACAGGCTTACTACTATGATGTCTGCCAGGAGGGCTGATTCGTCCGGTCAGGGGATTTCACTTATATTTTGCTAAGAGTTCTGTCATGACTAGATGTTGAAGTTTATCGACATTTTCTGCCTCTAATAAAGCCCATTAAAATCAAAAGAGAACAAGACTCCCACTGCGTTGCGTTTTACTTATCACTTTGAGACACTCACCTGATCTCTCATTGACTGTGTAATCATCACTTGCCATTCATTTTGCTAACATTTTGTTTAGATTTTTATTTATTTATTTTCAGTTTTTGTTGTAAGGCACGTGCGCTCACCAGACAGACAAAGAGAGACATAGAGACAGGCTTAGAGAATGAGAGGGAACATGAGAAATCACCCCCCAGGGTGGACGGCCCTGCCGCGATCCCTTCTCCTCCATTCTCCTCTCAGGACTCGGCACACACTCCCGGCATGAATTTCCAGCCGCTGGGTCCAGGACTCAGCTGCAGTTGGCCCTGTGGTCTGGACGTGTAACACACGAGAACACGTGAGGGCCCCCCGGCTCCTGTCACGCCTCTCTCAGCGCATCTACCCGCAGTGGCTACGTCGCACCTCACGGGGCGGGCCGGCCCCAGGGCGCAGAGCTGCGAGCAGTGTGCTGGGAGTCAGATTCCATGTGGCCCCTGGCCCCCAGCAGCTTGAAAAACACACCCAGCACATGTACACGTGTGCCCGAGTCCCTTCACGATGGGAAAATGGAGGGGAGAGGACTGGGGCATGACTGAGCCCCGCTTTCTCTGTTTCTCTCTTGCACATGCATGCCCCAGCGAGTAACAAGACACGGGAGCGAGGTTCTGGGCCACCGCGAGAGCTACCTAGCTGTCACCGGACACAGTGGCCAAACCTGCACATGGCCCTGGGCCGCAGGGACCTGTCAGTGCTGCCGGCTGTCCAGAGTGGAGGAGGGAAGGCGACAAGGTGGAGAGCTTCCGTCCTGAGAATGTATAAAGAAAGAGAAAGAGAGAAGAAAGAGAAAAAGAAAGGAGAAAGAAAAAGAAAGAAAAGAGAGGAAGAAAAGATCAAAGGAAACAGAGCACGAGGTCCCTGTCACAGCTGCTCAGATTAACCCCCATAGAATGCTGTCCCAGCCTTCCCGTTTGCTCGGGGTTATGTGTATCTTTAAGGGGTTTACTAGGTAGTGCTGCTACCATATATTTTTTTAATTTTTTTTTTAACCAGGAACACGTGGGTTCATCAGAGAGACACAGAGAGATGGAGAAAGCTCCCGTGAGGCGTGATCACACCCCAATCCCTTCTCTTCCATTTCCCCAGCTGCCAGGATTTGGGGCACACGCAGGTACCCAGCGAGTTTCCACGCCACCAGGGCTGAGACTTGAACTGCATGGCTGGCCGTGTGGGATCCAGCGCCCTTACCCACCATGCCACGAACTGCCAGGCTCTCCCCAGCCACCTTAAGTCACCCGCCACGTGTCCAGTGGTCACACAGTAACCACTTATTCCCGTGAAAAAGCAGCAGCTTGCAGTCAAGACTAACAGGCGGGGCAGGAACTACATGGTGTCGTTAGAATGCAGTGGGCCGAGCCTTGTGGGGTGCTGGAGAAGGGCCGCAGGCTTCTTCAGCACGTGGAGGGCGCGAGGTGGACTCCACGCAGACCCTGCACCCACCGTGTTTTCCACCTGGGAAACAATGCAAATCAAATACTTTAGATGAAACGCTCTTCTTAAATCCAGATTATTTCTTTAGAGGGGGATGTTTCTGGTGGAGAGGAAGCTGCAAGAAAGGTCTTAAGGTGCCCTTTTAGGGCGACCTGCGGACCAAGGAGCAGGGACTGTCTTCTTCTGTCCCAGAGCCCTGGCCCAGCCTGGGCGGGATCTAGTGTGGCCCGAGTTTCTCAGAGTCGCTGGAAAGGTCCAAAGAAGGGGGGCCTTGGGTGGGAGAGGCTGGCACGTTGCAGGCTATGCATCATTTCTGTTGTCGTCACTGAGACTAAACGGAGGAGAAACTAAAACAGAGACGCACCCCAAACCTTGCCGTTTCAAAATTGTTCGTCTGGGGAGGAAGAACATGCTCCCACGGAGGGGAAGATACCGGGGACGCCGCGGCTCTTACCTTTCTGCACTTGTTCATTTGACCCTCCAGAGCTTCAGTTACCAGTGAGGACAAAGCGGGGCAGCCAGCCTACCCCGCTGGGAGGGACGCACACGCGTGGAGGCCAGAGCCCTCCCATGCCCAGGTCCTCACCAGGCCTCCCACAAAGTCCCCACTGGAGAGCAAGGACTGCCGCTCCCCCTCCTCCTGACCGGAGCCGAGGGCCGAGGGGAGCGGAGTGGGAGACACCCCGGGACAGCGAGCGCACGCGCTGAGTGACTTGGCGTCACGGACCAGCCGTCACCTCAGTGCCAACGCTGGGCTGAGAGGACGTTCTCTATGTTTAGAATTTTTCACTCGCCAGAGAGAAACAGAGAGCCACAGAGAGAGGGAAAATGGGAAGTATGCCCTGGTGGGGGTGGTCACCCCACAATCCCTTCTCCTCCATTCTCTTCCTGGATTGGGGCACGCCAGCACACACACCTGGCGTGACTCTCAAGCTGCTGCGCCCAGGACTCAAACCATGGTCGGCCATGTAGGAGTCCAGTGCCTTAACCACACTGCCAAGTATTAGGTCACTGGGAAAGTCGTGACGTGTTTTTCTATGCAAGAATGTGTCGTGACTGTCCCGATGACCCAGTTGAACGCTGTGAAGTTCTACTTTATAACGCCAGAGTTACAGATTACAAAAAACTGTGACGTAAGCTGGGCCAGCCAGCTGCTGTGGCCCCCCGGTGACACAAGTGTCCGCGAGGCTGGAGGCCATGTCCCCGGACAGTCTGGGGATCTGAGGACGAGAGGGCCGAGGGAAGCGATGACGGCCGTGTGGCTGGGCCCTGTCAAGCGCCTCCTCCTCCTCCCTCTCCCGCCCTCTGTCATGCCTGTCTAGTATTTAAAAGAAAGAAAGAAAGCAACCTTGACCAATCACTTTGGTTCACCTCTCTCTAAGATCCCCAGACTATAATGAACTGCAATGCAATGTTTATGTTTCAGAGTGATTGTATTTAAATAATTAGAAGAAATCGATTGCTCTCCATAACGAAAACAAATCAGGCAATTTGTTTACAATCTCCGATCTGAAATACATGAAAGCGCTCTGCAGACACACAGAGAGGATTCACCAAGCTCACTGGGGAAATTCCGTAGGGATAGGAGAGGGGAGACTGAGACACACAGGCGTCTCCAGCAACGTTGCAAAGTGAAATGTTTTCATCCAAAGATTTTGAAGTACAAAAAGAAGCCATTTAATTCTGAAGAAAGTTGGTTCAAAATTACTGCTTTTCATTAATCTATCACAATTAATAATGCAAAATGACCAGCATGAGACACACCGATCATAAACTGAATGCCTGCCATGTAGCTCACCGTTACTGTAACATTCCAGTCACTTCAGAGATGACTCTGTAACTGGCCAGACCAGTATGATGACCTGCTTCCGTCCCAGCCTGGGCCCGGGGGGGGTGGGTGGGGGGGGTGAGACACTGTCTGCATTGACTGAAGAAGGCAGAGCCTACAAGGCGTGTTGTCCAGTTTGGGTTTTGAACCAGTTACCTAGCAATTCCCCCAGCGACTTGCTTGGGAGTCTGTGAAAGGCCTGCTTGAGGGGAGAAACGAAACCCAGCTCTGTGAGGGTCCCCAGGCCCTGAGGAGTGAGTCACAGGGACTGGGGCCCGACATGGGCCATTGCCCTCCGCTTTGGGGACGGGGGGCGCTGCCCATCACACAGCTCCTCCTTGGCCTTCCTTCAGGTTCTGGTTCTCATCCGGGGGCCCCATCTGGCCTGACGGGTCTCGTGGGTTAGGGGATAGGAGAGAAGGGGGCCGAGTCTCACACAGGGCAGTCCATCACTTTGCCAGTTATCTGGGGACCAGAGTCTTTGTCACTGGGTGGTGTGACCCGGCAGCCAGCTCCAAGCCTGCTCCATACTCCTGGGGCTCCCTCCACGATGCCGGCCGCGCTGACCCTGTAGAGCAGATGACAGTTCAGCATTCACAGTTCATGGCACCACGTGAGGCGGCGGGGGCTGGAGAACAGGCCTGGACCGAGTCACAAAAGGAGCCGGTTCTCAGACCACGTGGACCAGACTGCAACACTGACCCGGCGCTGGCCAGCTGGGCTCGTTCAGGGACCTGCTGCCTGCCGCTGCTTCACCCCTCACTCGGCCCCTCACTGGGCCCCCACGACCCGAGAGCAGGCCGGCGCGCATGGTCCTGCCCCCGCGAGTCCTTGCCCCACCCAGGCAGGTGCTCCACGCGGAGCTGCCCGGCGGATGTGGGCTGGAACGGTGGCTCTGAGGACCCACTGGTACTGGGCCCTCTCTGCCTTCCTGGAGCCCAGTGGCCCTGGCTCGGAGCCACATTTGTCTTCTGTGTGTTCCCCCCTCCCCAGTCTCCATGCCACCTTCACTCCGGGCATCCCTGAGCCGGTGGACATGATCGGGGCGGTCTGCTCTTCCTGGGGACAGCCAGAGGAAGAGGGAGCGAGGGAGGTGCTACTCGGTGCCGAGTGCTCGGAGAACTATACCGGCCCTCAGTTCTTTTTAGAGCTTGAATACATTCTCAGCAAATCTCCGTGCTATGGACGAACTTGAACCTGAGCACAACAACCTCCAACTGCAGGCTTGTAGGGGAGGTGCCCGTTACTCCCCTCCTCACCGCAGGGCTGCCAGTGCCCGTGACGCCCAGGCAGCTCTGGAGTCTGCAGCCTCCGTTAACCCGGCAGCAGCAACCACTCATACAAAACGTGATACACTGGGACCAGCAGATGGCGGAGTGGCTTCATCACTGGACTCCTACACAGTCCCTCCGCTCAAGTCCTGGATCTGGCGGCTTAAACTCACGCCGGGCGCGTGTGCGTGTGTGTCCAAGATCCTGAGAGAAAAATGGATGCGAAGGGATTGGGGTGTGGCCATCCCCCAGGGGGTGATTTCTCATTTTCTGTCTTTCTCTGTCTCTTCAGTGAGCACATATGCCTTACAGAAAAAAATCTCTTAAAAAATTACACTATTTATTATTATTTTTATATTAATTCTTAAATGTATCATATTTTCATTTTTATGTATTTATTTATTTTTTAAAAGTTTTTTTATAAGGTGCATGCACTCACCAGAGGGAGTCTAGAGAGAAAGAGAAAGTGAGAAATCACCCCCTGGGGTGTGGCCACGCCACAATCCCTTCCCTTTGGTTCTCCTGTCAGGATTTTGGGTGCACACACACATTCTGAGGTGTTTCTCAAGCTGCCGGGTCTGGGACTCAAACCACACAGTGAACCGTGCGGCATCCAGTTGCCTTAACCACTGTGCCACTTCCTGGCTCTAATTCCTAAGTGCGCCGTAGAATGCGGGCCTTCCCCAAACTAGGCAGTAAAGCTCTACTGGGTTAGGATCTGGGTCAGGTGGTCACATACACATGGGACAAAAGTCCAGATTGTTCTCTCCACAGCGCAGTCGCAGGGTGGGGGGCGCTCGGCGCGTTGGCCCAGGGCGCATTTCAGGAAGGCTGAGTGCGGCCCGTGTCCTCAGCTCCTCTGTCAGCACGGGAGCAGTTCTGCCGGCTCAGAGCGCTCCACCCCCTTCCAAAGGCACATGACACAAACACGTGCTAACGGCACCGTCTGTTGAGGGTCGGAGCTGGGATAGCTGCGGCCATGCCCAGGAGGTGTCCCGGTACCACGCGGCTGCTGTGCCAGGTCCCCGACTCCAGGTCAGGACAGCCTGTCCCAGCACAGCCCGAGAACCTGGGTTCCATGTACAGTCCCTCCTCACCGGGTCCAGCTCAGACCCTCCCTGACCGGACCCCAACACTCCCAAATCCCCAGAACGATCCCAGATCAACCTGAATTCACAACACCCCTTTCCACTAGAACCCGGCCCTTTTCCTGGAACCATGTGCAATCTCCCTGGAGCTCCACCTACACCTGACAGTGTAGACCGGTCTCCCTGGAGCTCCGCCTACACCTGACAGTGTAGACCGGTCTCCCTGGAGCTCCGCCTACACCTGACAGTGTAGACCGGTCTCCCTGGAGCTCCGCCTACACCTAACAGTGTAGACCCCACACCCAGAGAGGGCTCACCTCAAGGCCCTACTAGCTGTCTATAAGGAGTCGTGACCGTGGACCTCTCCGTGGCCAGCAGACGCTGTGTGCTAGGGACACCTCGCACGAGGCAGGCCTGCAGCTCAGGCCACTCCCCACGCCTGGGCAGCCTCGCGCAGCACTGCTCATGGAGTTCCCATGGTCTGAGCAGCGTGCTCAGGGCTAGATGAGACGTTTCACAGGGAAAACTCGCAGGCCCAGGTGTGGAGAACCACTCACCAGGCTCCAGGGAGGACGACTGGGCAACGCCTGCCTCCTGGCCCGGCTGGCCGACCACAGGGGGGCTCCCAAGCCCGAGGTCTTGATGCTCCTGAATAACCATGAACTGCAGAGAACACGGGGGACAGGAGACGGTCAGCACCCACTCAGGCCGGGTCTGTGGCTTCCTACGCCCACCCTCCAGCAGAAGGTGTATGCGTGGTGGTAACGTTCGGGTATACCCAGCTCTGAGTAACACGGACACGTGCGGACCAACCACGGGCTTTCCTGCGGTCGAGCCGCCTGGGAACCAGGTTCTGAAAGGGAGGCTGGAGAAGGGCATTCTCTCCAGTCAACAAGGTGACTGCCTCCGGCCCTGTTCGTACCGCCCAGAGCAGATTCCCGGCCCGACTCACTGTGCGCAGACCAGGTGTCAAAGCAGAAAGGGACTAGGTGGGGCACACGGGGGGTGAGAGTCCATCCGCTATGCAGCATGGCGTGCAATTTGAAACTTGAGAATTGTTTATTTCTGGAATTTTCCACTGAACAGGTTGGTGCAGAAAGTGACACCCTGGACGGGGTGACAGGCATGTCCCAGCCTCTTCCCAATGTGTGTGTAACCACGCCAGCAGCACACGCAGATCTGGTCACCTCAGTGTGGTAGAGCTCTGCGAATGGAGGCCCCTGGAGAGCTCCGTCTTCCCGAATCTGCCTCTGCCACTCCAAGGTCGCTCCTGAGGCAGGAGCTGTGGAGCGCCTTCAGCTTCCCATCCAGGGAGCTCATTGTAAAACACCGGGAGTTGCCACATAAGTTGCAGAACAGCTGCTTAAACTCTAATTCAAGCTCAATCTTTAACTTTCAGTGTAAGCGCAATTTGAACTAGGACCCCGTATTTGCATTTGCTAAATCTAGCAACTCCTTTTGCTACTGAAGTTGAGAGACGTAAAATGTACGTGAGGAAAGAAAAGCTAAGATGATTGGGAACATCGCCTTGGGTTTAAAGATGTCCGTCTAAACGGGAGACCAAAAACCGGGAACACGCAAAACCCGCGTTACAGGAAGAAGCTATGTGATGGGGAGACAGGCAGGCCCCGAGCTGCTCCATCGTGGCACTGCGGACTCTTCTCACCCCTTAATGTCCGCAGCTCCCGCCCACCCTCTCCCCCAGATCTCCCGCAGCCGCAGCGAGGCCTTGGCCTGGCCCTTCTGTCGCTCTGAGCGCAGGGAGGAGGGAATGCCAGCTGCGGAGGATCAGGCCAGCTCCTGCTTCCTCTGCCAGGGACATTACCCACACTGGAGGGCAGGACGACGTCCCGGACTCTCCAAGGGCCGGCCCACTCCCACACGCGTCTCCACTGGGCAGCTCATAAGGGTTCCTCGGGGTTTTTGATAGCAGCTTCTGAGTCCTGCGACAAAGCCAGACTTGAGGAAATCTCAGAGCAAACCAAACACTCAGCCGCAGTCCGGTCGGGAGCAACCACTGCTGCTCCTTGAGTTTAGGAGCTAAAAATGGGGGTTGGGGGGCATTCCTTTCTGCAGATCTCAGAACTCTTCCCAGACCCAAGCCCTCCATAGTTCTGCAAGTGCGAGTCCCATGTGACGGAAGGCTGCATCACTTGCTCATAGGTGGCCACTGAGCGCCCACCGCACCTAGGCCGCCACGTCCCTGCACCAGGGACCCAGCGATGAGGTAGCAATGCCTCTCCCTTGGAGGGCGAGGGTCGGCACTCCCAGCCACTGTGTGAAGCCGCCAGCTTGGCTCCACCCCGGGAGATGCCAGCAGAGCTCCGGGACAGCCGGATCCCTGAGGCCATGCTACCAGGGCTGGGCAGCCTGCAGGTGGGCGTGATATAGCAGCCCACGCCATCGCTCACCCACATGGGGGCGGGAGGGGTCCCCACATAACTGTCTCGGCAGCCTCCCACCCCGGCCTGGTGGTTAAGGGAACTGGATCCCACATGCCCACCGTGGTTTGTATCCTCCCCTGGTGGCTTAAAAAACCTGCTGGGTGTACGTGTGTTCTCAAAACTCCGACAGGATGGAGAGGCGGAGGGAGGGACTGTGTGGGCCGAGGCCCCTTCGTTCCCCACTGGAGGTCTTCCCTGCTCTCCTTCTCTCTGGGGCGCGCACGGCCATCTGGCAGTGAATAATAATAATAATTCTGTCTCACAGTTGCCAAGTCAGGAAACAGACCAGTCTCTTGGTTCCAAATTTTGACTGAGTTACAGACTAAAATCGCCATGTAACCGACGGCCACTGAATTAAAATGTCAAGTCTGTGCCCAAGATTGTCGCTTCTCAGAGATGGGGGAAAGGGCTTAGGGGATGTGGCTCTTTGGGGACGATTACAGCTCGAGGGAAATCAGAATAAAAACAGAGAGCATCTACTGCCAGGCCGACATAAAGTGCACTTAGACCGACTCGCTAATGCCACAAGGCTCCTCGAGACAGGAACCGTTCTCGTCCGTTTCATAACCAAGGAAAGGAGTGAGGCTGCGTAGGCACTGACAGGGTTAACCTGAGACCTGATTCCAGAGCGCAGGCTCTAACCTCTACCCGGGCGTGGAGGGGTCTCAGACAACGCCACCCTGGCTGACAGGTGTGTCTCCAGGGTACGAAGCAGCTGCTCCCTGAGCGGCTGTGGCATGCGGCAGGGTGGCCGTGGTGCCCTCTGCAGGGCAGTGGGTGTTTGACACCCAGAGAATGAGGCCTAGTTAAGCGGGCATTGGGTTAGCCAGCCGTGACACGACCAGTGTGAGCTGTGACTCGCGAAGTCCCCTCCGCTCAGAGTCCATGTCACTGCTGCAGCGCCGGCCATGACACCCACTGAGCCGTTCCCCGCATGCGCGGTAGTGAAGGAGGGTGTCTGCTCTTGAAGAAAATGGAAAACAGGCACCCCCTGGTGCCTACACCGTGGCCGTAACGTGGCATCGTTTAAGAAATTCGGTGTGTAAGTATTATCGTCCACGTTTTTGCTATCGGGTGTGCACGCTCACCAGAGAGACAGAGACAGTGAGAGGGAAAGTGAGAAATCACCCCCGGGGGACGGCCACGCCGCAATCCCTTCTCCTCCATCTTGTCCTAGGATCTTGGGCACGCACACGCGCCCCACATGATTTTCAAGCCACTGGGTCCAGGATTCAAACTGCAGTCAGCCATGTGGGAAACCAGCCCCTTACCCACCATGCCACCTGCTGGTCTTGTGCCACAGTTGCTAACCGCTGGCTGGAGACTTTGAAGACACAAAGTGCAGGGCTCACAAACGTCGCCCTGAGGGAGGGAGGTGCGGGTTTCTTCAACAGCAGTTACTGCTCTGTGGAAAATCAGCTCTGCGGAAGGCGGCCATCAAACGCTGCAGGCCAAGGGGGCAGAGCAGGAGACCCCAGGGGTGAACGCAGAAGCAGAAACCAGGAGCTAAAGGCACACCCAGCCCCCACGCGTGTGTGGGCCAGGACAGAGCGGGCAGGGGCAGTGGCAGCCAACGTGTCGCAGTCCTGCCTTCTGTATGTGGGTGCATGTATGCGCCCTTCGCCGTCCCCTGCACCTGGAGTAGCACGTCTGTGGATTTCGTCCCGGAGGGCTGGGGAGGGTCGGGGTGCTGGGAATCACCTGTAGTAGTGGGCCCCCCACAGCCCCAGCAGGACCAGGAGGACCAGCCCCACCACGCACACAGCCACCACGGTGACATCCCGCTGCTGCCCGAGGCTGGCGTGGCGCAGCTGCAAGTCCAGGTGCTGACAGCGCTCCCCGACGTAGCCGACGGCACAGCTGCAACAACACAGAACAGGTGTCAGGGTCCTGCCAGACACGCAGGCCGCGCCCCTCAGCATCCCGGCCTCTAACGTCCAGCCTCAGCGGCTGGGCGGCGAGGTCTGGAGAGAGCATGAGGACCCAGGGCAGGCAGCAAAGGAGCCCTGTGGTCCACCCAGCCTGGGCAGCATGGATGGCCACGCATCCCCACAGGTGGCACAGAGCACGCGCGAGGGTGGGCTTCCGCGAGGCTGAAACCCCAGGACACCTTTGACACGCGCCGGCCTGAGCAGCTTTGCCCCAGAGTCCCCCGAGCTTCAGGAGCACACGCGTGGCCAGAACTGGGTACACGAGCCAAAGCCCAGAGTGATCGGAAGGCAGAGGCCCCGGCTGGCCACCAGGCCGTGCAGTAAGGACGTGTGGCCCGGCACGGCCGTGCCCATGGGCCAGCGTGCTCGTCCCCATCAGGGTTGCTTTCCCTCGTCACGGCCGAGAGCAAAAGTCCCCATGCAGCACAGCAAGCATGCCTGCCTCTTCCTCCCAGGGGAGCCCTGCGAGGACAGGGCGGACAGCCAGGATGCCCCATGATAAGACCACTACAGGGACAAGGGACACACAGGTGGGCCCTGTCCAGGTCAGCGACGCAACGCTGCCATCTGCTGGAAGCTCGTGCTGCCACACACCCTGGGTCGGTGCACACTGTCCTGCAAGGCCGCCACTCCATGGACGTCCCACTAAACACTGCACGGTGCTGACGTACCAGGAGCTCCTTCCCAGGACCCGGGTCAGGTCCGCATGGCCTTGCCTCATGCCTGAAGAGCTGAGGAACGACTGCAGGGAGCAGTCATAGCGGAGGGGGACCAGCTGCCAGGGAGAGAAGGGGCAGCCTGGCAGTGCTCCGCCCCAGCTGTCTCAGTACCTGGCTGCCACTTTCAACCCTGGGCGCTGCTAGGCTGCACCGCCCAGCCCTCAGAGATGGTAAGGCCATGCCGTGGCCAAGCAGCCTGGGGAGCCCGGTTCGGGGCAGGGGCGGGGCAGAGCCCTCTGAGCCTTGCAGGCCTGGATGGCCAGCCCACATTTTACAGGGAGGCGAGGAGACGAGGCGGCACAAACCCCTGGCCTTTCATTTATTCTTTCGCCAAACCACACAGAGATTCTCTGGCCACATCAGCTGGAGCGGGAACTGCCGAGTGTTCCAGGACACTCTGAAGGAAACGCAGGGACTGTCGTGTGCTGTGGCGCGTGGAGCACTGTGGGCGAGGCTGGTGCACGGCACTTCTCGGGGTCCGTCTGCACAGCCTTGTCCTGAAGGGCATGTCACGCGCTGGCCCTGAGGGATCTTAGACCTGCCCAGAGGGTGGCTGGTTCAAACCCAGCCAGGATGGACCAGGCCCTCCTTGAACTCAGGACCTGGAGCCTCCCGGGGCCTCTCAGTCAGGGACGCTGGAAACCCACGTCAGACGTGGTGACTCCAGAGGTCACTCCCCGGGCATCGCCAGGGAAAGCCGGGGCCCACCTGTCCGGGTAACTTCGGAGCAAGCAGGAAGGCCTGCCCTTGCGAAGCCTGCCCGCAGCATGGAGAACACCGCACAGAAGCTGCCGAAGGGCGTCTCGGATTCCACGGGGCTGGCGAGCACTTCCCGGAGGCTTGTTATCGTGGGGTTAGCAAACGTGAGGAGGTCGTGGGGGCGGGGTCAGAGGGCTACAGTTACTGGGAGTGGTGGTCAGGTTAAGGGCTTCGCTGTGACACGTCTGCGGTTTGTCCTGTTGTAGCAGCTGTGTTTGAAACACGGTCAGGGAGATAGACGTTTCCATGGGGGCTTAACGGCAGAGAAGAGTGCTCTGGAGGCCACCGGCCACTTACACCAGACCCAACGCAGTAAGGCACCCTGCAGTAGCCGTCCCC